CAGCCCACGAGGCCCCAGAAATCAGCTCAACACGGCCCAAGAGGCACTCAAAGAGGGCGCCACGACGGCGCAAGAGAGGCCCAAAACGGCCAAAGAGCGCCCCAAGACGGCCCACGAGGCGCCCAAGATCGCCCAAGAGGGCCCCTAGACGGCCCCAAGAGGGGCCCAAGAGGGGGAACACGAACCGACAATTCGAGCCTTCCGCCCCAAGAGGCCCCCAACAGACCCCAAGAGGCCCTTAAGAGGCCCCCTAGAGGCCCCACGAGGCCCAAAAGGAGGCCCCGACGAGCACCCCAAACGGCCCCTAAGAGGCCTCCAAACCATACCGGTGCATAGCAAAGGACCGCCTAGCCTATCGTGGCATCGCAGCGTTGCTGGACACGACATGGCACGGCACAGCACGACAGAGCTAACCGTGTCAGTGCATATCACAGGATGGTTCAGCATGCCGAGGCATTGCATTCCATTCCAGTGTCTAGCTGAGCCCAGCACTGCACGGCACGACGGAACATTGCCTAGCATGGCACTGCATCTCATGACACATCGTGGCGTACTCTGGCAGTCCAATGCACAAATTGATCGAACAGCACCGTACTGCTCTGCGCAACAGGAAACATAACTAATGCAAATATCACACCCCGTTGTTGCTCTTACTGTCGTCCTGTCTATTTTAGCCTAGCAGCTCATAACCTTGCATAGTATTGCATTGCATTGCATTGTATAGCACGGTATGTCGTGTAGCACGGTTGTGCACGGTATGTCGGGTCTTTGGTGCCTCTCGGGGGCAGTTTTGAGGCCCCTTTTGGGCCGTCTTGGGCGCCCATTGGGCCGTCATGGGGCCCTCGTCGGGCCTCTTGGAGGAATGTCGGAAGCTATCTCGAACCATCGTCGGCATTCTTGAGCCATTTTGGAGGTCATCTTGGAGCATCGGACGCCCTCTTGGAGCGGAGGGGGAGGGTATACCCCTCCCCGAAGGGGAGAGGGTTTCTTGACGAGGAAAGGGAGAACTCGTTAGACCACCTGTGCCCGAAGGGCTGGTGGGATATGTTTTATTTTTCACAGCGTCCAACACGGCCCAAGAGGCTCCCAAGACAGCCCCAAGCTGTTCCAAGAGGTCTCCAAGAGGGCCCCAAGATGTCCCAAGAAGTACCCAGGACCGCCCAAGACGGCCCCAAGAGGGCCCCAGGGGGGAATTCGAACCGACATGTCGAGGGCTCCGCCCCATGAGGACCCCGCAGACCGCCAGCAGGCACCAAAGGACTCCCCAAGAGGGCCCAGAGGCCCAAGAGAGGTCGAACAGATTCCCTGAAAGGCGCCCCAAGAGGGCTCAGCACTGCTTCAAGAGGCTGCCCAGAGGCCCCCCGAGACCCGAACAGGCATTCCAGAGGTCTCAGGCGGCCCCGTAGAGACTACAAGCTACTTTTTGCACGCTTCAAACCGAAGACGCAGGTGTGCAAGCACTCCCCCTCGCTCACCCTCCTCCTCTCTCCTCCTCCCCCTCCCACTCCTCCTACTCATCTTCCTTGTCTTTTCTCTTCCTCGGGCCTCCCACCCCTCAAATTCTTTTCTCGCTCACTTGCATCGCCTCTCGTTCGTGCGCCCTCCTCCTCCTCCATGCCCATCTTGCCTCTGGCTTCTTCCTCATCCGACCGACCCTACTCCACACTCCGCGTGCGTAGCTTCCTCCTCTCTCCCGCTTCCTGGTTATTGCCTCTTGCAATCGATCTCGTACAGTCCCCCTCCTGCCTCCTCCATCCTCCTCCCCGCCTCGGTGATTCCCTCATCATCCCTCCTTTCTCGAGGCAGGGGGATGGTGGAGTACCTTTGTGTTCCAGCGGAGTGTTCGTACTTATTTCCCTCCTCTTCATCCTCTCCACCATTAACCTTCTCTGTCTCTCTCGGTCCCTCTCTTCTCACCCTCTTAAGCTATCCCATCCCGAAAGAGCGACAACGGTGGACTCATACGAACCGAACAACTTCGAGCCTCCAGAGCCTCACAGATCGCCCAAGAGGCCTCCAGCAGCCTCCCGGGGTAACCAGATGCAGGTTCAATCCCGAGCAACGCGTCCAGGGCCTGGGGGAAAACCACGCGCTACGCCCCAGGAGCGCGCGATGCAGCCCGTGCGTTTGTGGCCTAGAGCCCACTTCACGAGCGTTTAGGCAGTCTGTCTCCAGGATCAGCAGTGACCAGAGTTCACTCCGCGCTGGTGGCGGAAACAACGAACATGCGGATGCGCCTGATTCCGCGGACCAGTGCCCGCGCATTGACCGACTCCTGCCCACGGCCGTTCCCCCATTACGATGTCCTCATGACGTCTTCCCGCTCGTCTGCCCCTCCCTCCTTGTCGTCGAGGCGTCCGCAGCGCAACGCCTCCTTTGCGCGCCTGAAGGGTAAGGGCATGCGCACACGCTGTTCATTGGAAGTAAGTATTTTGGGGGGATCCAGATCCCAATCTAGCTCAAGCGTCTTCTTACTTCAAGGATCGATGTGGTTAGCAGTATGTGTTATTATTCGAACCGGCCCGACTCCAAAATATTTGATCCGCCTTCATACTTCATGTTTCCGCCTACTTATTCCGACTGGGTGGTACAGGAAGGTCGAAGTGGCACCAGACATAATTCGCAACAGTAGGATACTTGGGAAAGGAAGGAAGAGGGAACAGACAGGAGGGAACCAGGGCGATGTTTCTTGGTGCGGGGAGCTCGAGGCATGGCGCTGAGCATGCCCACTCGAACATCGTTGCAAGGACCGCAACTGCCCTGGGAGCGCTTCTAAGGCAGAGGAAGAGGTGGAAGAGGAGGAGAACGGTCACGGTGACAGGGGGGGCGGGATGGAATAAAGCAGCTTCGAGACTCCTCGCACACCTCCGCGCCTCCTCCTGCGCAGGTTTTTTCCAGGTTCGACGAGGATTGCAACGACAGCATCTCCGTGCACGAGCTCGGGGCGATGTTGCGCTACATGGGCTTCGCTGTGACCATTGCCGACCTCCACCTTCTCATCGCCCAGGTCGGCAGATGAGAAGGGGGAGGAGAGGGGGAGGAGAGGGGAAGCGGGAGCGGGGGTGGAGAGAAGAGTGTGAGGGGGCCAGCTAGGTGCGCTCGCGCCGCCTTTACCCTTTCCTTGGCATCGTCCGGACGTGTGCATTGTTCTCGGCGAGGACCATCGAGGAACATCGTGCGAAACGTAAACGCATGAGACCGAACATCCATGGGGAATGGACGTCCGAGCGATGTTGAGTTGCGTTGAACGCCTGGAACGGCGAGGGAACCTAGGAGGGTTAGAAGGAGCACGACGAGCACGGACAGGACTGGAGGCGAGAGAGAGCAGGCCCACTGCGGCCGCAGTGCGAGTTGGCTGGCACGCGCTCGCGTCCTTCGCATGCCATTCGGCGCGAGACCAGGGGAGGGGAGTAGGTCATGCAGGAGGCGCAAGGCAAGAATGGGCCACGCACGTGACAACATAGCGCAGCCTCATGTTATGGAGTAACAGCGCTGCGTAAAATCCGGATCATCCTAGCACATCATGGAGTGACACAGCATGACACAAAGTAGCAATGTACAGTATGGGATGCCACTGTATAGCAGGGTGCACCAGACCAGCGCAGAATAGCATAACCACACATTGGCCAACATAGCAAACCATACCATGTGTTCACAGTGTACGGCGTACCCTGATTCCGCGTATAGCAGGACATCACAACATATCATACCACAGCACGGAGCAACACAAACAGACTTCGCGCAGAAATCTGGTGTCAGAGTCGAGGGGAAACAGAAGTGGGGAGAAGAGAAGAAGGAGGACAGGAATGACCAGGAGGAATCAGGAAGAGACGGACATTAATGACTGGCAGGAGGAGGAAGAGGACGAGGAGGAGGAGGAGGACATGGATGATAATACAGAGTAGGGAGGAGGAGGCAGTGGAGGAGGAGGAGGAGGAGGAGGAGGAGGAGGAGGAGGGAGGACAACGACTGCGACGACGAGGGCGCCGCCCACCGCCCAGGTCGACGTGGACCGTAGCGGCGACCTCGACTTTCGTGAGTTCATCCGCCTGATGCGGCTCCACAGGCAGGGGGCAACCTACAAGCAGAGGAGGAGGAGGAGGAGGAGGAGGAGGAGGAAACAGGAGGAGGAGGATCAGGGGCAACGATAGGCATAAGGAGGAGGATCAGGGGCAACGACCCCAAATCGCCCACTGATCGCCGATGAGGGCCCGATAGCCCCACCCCGCCCAGGAGCGTGGGCATCGGCTATCGGAGGCCTACCGCCGATCTATCGGCAATGTGTCGTCGACTCCAGGTCGACGCGTCCCTCCCTCTGCCAGTCCCTCCCTGTCGCTGCCCCTCCCTGTCGCTGCCCCTCAAGAGGAGGAGGAGGAGGAGGAGGAGGAGGAGGAGGAGGAGGAGACAGTGGAGGAGGCAGTGGAGGAGGAGGAGGAGGAGGAGGATGAGGAGGAGGAGGAGGAGGAGGAAGAGGACCGAACGACCAAAAGCTGCACGCACGAGCTGTCGGAGGGCCGCACAGCTCTCCGAGGTCGGCGCCCGACCCCCCTCGGTGGAGCCGCGCCCGGCGCCGCGCTCGGCGAGCCGCGCGCTCCAGGGGGGGGGGTGCAGCGCGGGTCCGAGAAGCGCGCGTGTTGTGCTCGTGCGGGTCACAGCTCTCCTAGAGGAGGAGGAGGGGAAGGATGATCTAAAACGACGCGAGGATCGGGACAAAATCGGATCGGGATAACCCGAAATCTCTGAGAATCGGCGGGTTTGGAGGATGTATTGGGCGCCGCGGCCGCTCCAGAGCGTTCCGGAACGCTCTGAGAGCGCTCCGGAACGCTCTGGAGCGATTTATCCCGATCCTAGCCCTGTTTTAAGGAGGGGAGGGATGATCGTTGCAGTCGGACCGATGTACAAGATCGAGGTCGGTTCGCGGTCGGTAGCCTAGTGCTCTTCGTGATTGTTGGATGTTGTTGTTCGTCTTGGGAGGGTACCCTAGTATGGCATGTTTGGTTTGTCCTAGGTCTCATGTTCTTGAGGAATGTTATTCTGGACTGGGTCCGATTGTACCAGCTTGAAGCATATCCCTATCCCCATGTTTGGTATCATCTTACTTGTGTGCCGATCTTAAGGATTTCCTCAGTTTTTTGAGGGCACATCCCAGAGACTGTCATCGTCTTTTGGGCTTGCCGATCTCTGGGATGGGGATCATCACGAGGCTGGTTAGATCGAAGGGTCGATGTTCTCGAATGTTCTGGGGCTCCCTGGTAGGCTCCGCCTCCCGATACCTCTGGGGATGCCCCGGGGACCGACCCCCCATCAGAGACCTCCTGGGACTCCCGGGGCCCCCCCTGAGGCAGGAAGAGCAGGAATCCTGAGCTCTCACCGGCCAGCAGGAGGAGCCCGGAGTGGGGGTCGATCCAGCCAGGTCGAACGAGCCAGCGGGCCCCACTCATTCCCACCCTCCCGCCCTGAAGACCAGGATCAGCGGTGGCACAGCTTGGTATCGAGATGGGAGCGCGTTCCCACTCAGGCAACGGCAGACGCTTGCGCGCGGTCCAGCCCTCGACGGCTTGGCAGAGGCACAGTTACGCAGCCCGCGCACTGGCGGGAGCGGAATGTCAGGAACTCTTTGCGCGGCGCTGCGGCGGGAGCACCATCTGGCCGTCTCTCGGTTGGCCAAGTGTCCTGTGGTCGTGGCGAAGACGAAGCATGAGCCGCGCCGAGACAGCACTGACGCCTTCGCGCACAAACTGCGTGGCGCTTGCGCGAGGGCAGCAGTTCGCCTGCTCTCGCGCGGCATGGCTGCTGCTGTTGCTGCCGCATGCGATTCGGCAGGCGGAATATGCGCCGCGCATGCGCCGGAGCGCCACTTCCAAGCAACATGTTTTCGGAGCTTTGGCGAAGGCAACAAGGCGCCTGCTCGCGATGGAAAAGACGCGCTGCGCGGAAGTGGGAGCGCCACTGTCAGGCGAAATCTGGATAGCGCCACTGTCCGGCAAAACACTTGCGTCGCGCCCAGGTTGGAACTCACCTGTCGGGAACACCTGTGAGCGGCGCCGAGGCGAGAGCATTTCTTCGCCTTTGCCCTGAGGCTCTTCGAAAGTCACTTCGAGGTGAACTTCAGAACGATGTCTTGGCAACCTCCCCCAGAGTCTGCAGAGCCAAAATCGTTGAAAAGCGCCTAGTCGTTGAATATGTTTGGACCCCCCAGCGGCCGAAAAGGGAAACGGACCAGAACGAGAGGCGCCGCGAGGGGGGGCGGGGACAGCCTCGGGTCGAACAGGAGGCGGGGTGCTCGCTCGGGCCAGACTTGCTGTAGGGCGAGGGGAGGCTGTCTGGAGGACTTGCCACGTCAGCAGCACGGTGGCCGCCGTGGGCTGAAGCAGGCGTCGAGGGTCAGGATAATTTCACGGTGCCAGCGGGGCTCCGGCATGGCTTTGTTCAGGGGGTCCAGGAGTTGTCGGCGGGGGTGGGAAGCGTGGGGGAGGAAGACGAGGAGGCGGGGGAGGAGTCGGAGGAGAAGGCTGAGTCATCACCTTTCACAGTCGTAGTCGTCGTACTCATCGTCGTTCGTCCTCCTCGTTCTCCTCTTGCCTGCCTCTTCCTGCCCCTCCCAACGCCGCTTGGCCAGGAGGACAGAGCTGAACCGTCTCCGCAGCATCTTCGCGAGGCACGAGGGGGGCGACGCTCCGTCAGGCCAACGGGCGCCAACGGCTCCTCTTTCTCGGTGTTGGCTCTCCTGCTCAGGGGGAGTAGGTCATGGTAGTGATAATTACGGTGTTCAGGCGTTTTGTTGTCCGCGCGTACTCCAGAGACGAGGGCCGCTGGATACGTTGGGACTTGTGGAACGCACCGTGGGCCAATCGTGTCATGACATCGTTCAGGCCGAACACTCCCGTCGCTGCCCCCGCTCCTGCTCTTGCTGCAGCCTCTGCTCTTGACATTGCAGCAGCGCTGCCGCCGCTCCTGATCGCCCTCCTCGCCCTGGGACTTCCTGCTCATTTCCCTCCTCGCCCTGCCTTCCCTCGCATACTCCCTGCTTGCCCTCGCCTACTTCCCCCCTCCCCCTCCTTGCCATCTCCTTTTTCATCCCTGCTCCTCCTTCTACTCACTTCTCTTCTCTTCTCTTCTATTCCCTCTTCTCCTCTTCCTCCTTCTCTTCCTCCTCCTTCTCCTCCTCCTCCTCCTCCTCCTCCTCCTCCTCCTCCTCCTTCTCCCCCTCGTCCTCGTCTTCCTCCACTCCTCCTCATGCCAGCTGGACGATCCAACCTTCGGGCGGCCGAAGCGTGGCCGGCGGGCCCGGTGATCCAGAGAGTAGAATTCGGCCCGAGAGGGGCTTGGGGTCAGGCGGCGAACGCAGGTGCGACAGCCCCGCAAGGTTTCCCGCGAAGAGGGCGATGCTTCGTTCTCATGCTCGTCCAGCTCGGGATCTGCCTTCCTCGCCGTCGCACTCGTTCCTCCTCCTGCTTCTCCTGCCGCGGCCGCCGACCCCCGACCCCTACCGTCGGTCGATGAAAATCTGCCAATCTGCCTCAATCCCAGATCGTTCGTGATTCCCAGATCGGTCGTGATCTGCCTGCCGTCGGTCGATGAAAAATCGGTCGTCGGTCGGTGATTCCCAGATCCCAATCTGCCAATCTGCCTCAAGAGGCGAGCGGTGTTCCCTCCCCCCTCCTCTCCAGGCGGCGGGCGGAGGCCCAATCTACTTCCGCCGCCCTCCCACTTCACGTTCCTCGCTACTTCTTCCGACCGACCCCTACTCATGTGGACCATGGCCGGTGCACCGGCCCCTCCGGGCCTGGCCCGCGCGGTGAGGGGAGGAGGACAAGGACGAGGAGGAGGAGGAGGACGAGGAGGGGGGATGAGGATGGAAGACTGAGCAGGGATAAGAATAACAAATATTTAGGAAGAGTATAACGGAAGGAAGGAAGCTTGAGAAGAGGAGGAGAACGAGAAAGAGGAGGAGCCAGAGGATGAGAACGAGAAAGAGGAGGAGGAAGAGGAGGAGGAGGAGGAGGAACAAGGAAAGAGGATGAGGTGGAGGAAGAAGAGGACGCGAGGAAGGTTGGTTGAGGGAAGGAGCAGCAGGAGGGTGAACAGACTGGAGCATACTAGTTTCTTAGAACCTCCGGACGCCTCCGTGAGCATTTGACAGTCTTGTCACCCCTTCCCCACCTCCTGGAGAAGGAGGAGGGATGGCTACGTCGGATGACATTATTGCCGGGAGTGGTTCAGTGGGTCAAGGGTAGAAGGAGGGAGGAGGACTGACTAGCGAGATAACCCAGGAGCATAATGAAGGAAGAAGAGGAGGAGGAGGAGGATGATCATAGAGAAGCAACAGAAGCGGAGGGTGGGAGAGCCCGGTCGGACTAAAAGGGGGGATTGGGACAAACAGGTACGTCATCCGTTGCGTGCAGCTCGTTTCGGCGTCGCCGCTGGGATACAGTTCCTCTACACTCAGAATAAGCGACTCTGGCGTCGGGATACCAGACAGAAATCGTTATGCGAGCTGATTCGATCGCCCCCCTCACCTGGGAGAGGAGGGGTGGAGGAAGGAAACCACGGGTGGAGGAGGAGTGGGAGGAAAACGAGGAGGAGTGAAGGATTGCTGACTCTTCGCGCATCCCCACCAGCCCATCCAGAAACGATGCCCAGGAGAGTTAGGGGTGACCAAGGAAGTGTAGGAGGACGACCGGGGGCAGGCGTTATCTGTCGAGTGAGTGGGAGGATGGAGGCGTACATGGAGGAGGAGGAGGAGGAGGAGGAGGAGGAGGAGGAGGAGGAGGAGGAGGAGGAGGAGGAGAGGTAGGAGGAGAGGATAGACGGAGAAGGAATAGGCAGATGAGAAGCAGGAGGAGGAAGAAAGTAAACAGAGGGCCAGAAGCCTCTTAAACGCCTGGGGGGTGCCTTGGAGGCCTCTTAGGCCGCCTTGGAGGCTTCTTGGCGGTCTTGGGGGCCCCTTGGGGCGTCTGGGAGGGCATCTTGGCGGGCCCAGGGCATCTTTGAGCGTCTAGGGTGCCTCGGTGATCCTCTTGAGGCCTCTTGGGGGTCTCTTGGGAGCTGAGTGGGCGCTCTTGGAACCATCTAGGACGTTTATTGTTAGCGCTGTCCTTAGAGACCGCCTAAAATTGCATCTTCGGGCACCTTTCTGGCGCTATTGGAACGCTCTTGGGCGCTCTTGGGGCCGTCTTGCGGCTCTGTTGGGCATCTTGGAGGCCAGGTTCTCTCCATCATTGTGTCTGGTGGGCCTGCGCACAGCAGGACATGCGCCACCACCCCCGCCGTCCTTGTCAAAAACCACTTAGCAATGATCGCGGGGATGCCGCGCATGATCCAGATTTAGCCGCGAGGTGAATTTATTTTGCACGCGCGCGCGCGCGCGCGCGTGTGTGTGTGTGTGTGTGTGTGTGTGTGTGTGTGTGTGAATGTGTGTGTGTGTGTGTGCGTGTGCGTGCGTGCGTGCGTGCGTGCGTGCGTGCGTGCGTGCGTGCGTGCGTGCGTGCGTGCGTGCGTGCGTGCGTGCGTGCGTGCGTGCGTGCGTGCGTGCGTGCTTGTGTGAGAGAGAGAGAGAGTCTGTGTGTGTATGTTTGCCAAAGATGGTAGCCCTGCGCGCAGCAGGCAATGTGCTGACACCCCCGCCGTCCTTCTCAAAAACTATACAAAGTGCTCGCGGGCCTCACGGACATGACTCCAGACATTGCCCCGGAGTGTAAGTTGTATTGATTTTATGATCGGGATGGTGAGAAGTGCCGCCGCGGCCGCTGGCGCGGCCGCCGCTCTCTGCGCGGCCGCGCCCCCTCCGGCCACCGCCTGCGCCGCGGCCGCGGCCGCCACCGCCGCCGCGGCTGTTGCCGGCCTCTAGCCGGCCGCGGCCTCGCTTGCGCGGGCGGCCGAGCTCGCGGCTTGTGCCGCGCGCTTTGCGGCTGCCGCGCCTTGGGCGGCGGCGGCGGCCGTGCGCGCGCCCGCGGGTGCGTGCCGGGCTGGGGCCGCGTCTGCTGCGGCGGCGCTGCTGGTGGCTGCCGAGAGCGCGGCGGTGGCCGAGCGCCTGGCGGCGGAGCAGGGCGGCGCGAGTGGCGACGCGACGGCGGTGGACGCCGTGGCGGAGGAGGAGGTGCTCGAGGATGGGGTCGTCGAGGAGGTGGTTGACGTGGAGAACGTGGTGGAGGAGGTCGATGGCGACGTGGAGCATGTGCAGGGGGTGGAGTTCGTCGGGGACCGACGAGGAAATGCAGGGGGAGGGCGACGGCTTGAAGGATGTAGTGAGGGAATTCGATGGCGATGCAAAGGAGGTGCAGGCGGCGTTCGAGGAAGGCCACGAGCGCAAGTTCGACCATGGAAAGGGCGAGAGCTGCTGCGAGGGCGCTGACGGGACCAAGTGGCAGTTGATCGAGGGTCGCGGCACGCTGGCTGACCTCGAGGACCGGCTGCTGGACCTGAAGGACCTGTGTAAGCGCAAGTGCGGCCTGGACATAAACTGAAGGCGACGACGGAGGCCTCTTCGAGGACACGGACCGCGGGCAACACGGTGGATTCCAGCAGCGCGATCATGCCCAGCACGACGGATGCCTCTGGCAGCACCGTGAGCAGCACGACGGATTCAGGCAGCACCACCACGCACTGCACGACAGCTTGGCGGACTCCAGCGGCGCCATCGCGACCGGCATCGCGGACCCCGGCAGCATGGCCCCGAGCTGCGGGGCGAACTCCAGCAGCGCGACTGATTCCAGCAGAGAGATCTCGAGCAGCTCGACGGATTCCAGCCTTCTCGTGGAGCGCTGGGGACCTTCGTAGGGCCTCGCAACACTGCGCTTCAACGAATGCCGTCCGGGAGCGCCCGAATCGCCCCACCGTGCCGCGGCTGCCCTCCGCGGGGCGAAGTCGTCGGATATCCCACCGTCTATGCAGCGATGCCAGCCCCAGGATGCCCCCCCCCTTACGCACGAAGCACCACGCCCTGGATGCGACGACGTGGCCCGGCCCCATCTCCCAGCGCTTGCGCCAACTAGGTGCGTTCCCCGACCCAGGGCGGAAGAGGGGGGGGGGGGACTCCGCGGATGCCCTCCGCGCGGCACGGGGCACCCCACCCTGGGCGCGACGACGCCTGCAGGGGGAGCGCGGCTCCAATCCACAGGCCTTCCACCGATTAGGTGCGCGCCCAGACCTGGAATGGCGGAGGGGGGGGGGGGGGCGACGAGCGTCGTGGACGCCGTCTGCGCGACGCGGAGCACCCTGCGCTGGGCGCGACGACGTCCGCATGGAGTACCCAGCCCCATCCCATTTTTTGTGCGCCGATTAGGCGCGCGCCTGGACTGGGGGCGGAAGGGGGGGGGGGGGGGGGGCGGGCGCCGCGGGCGCCCTCCGCCAGACACGGGTCGCCCGACCCTGGGCGCGACGATGCCTGCGGGGAGTGGTCGGCCCCATCCCGCCGGTTTTGCGCCGACCAGGCGCGCTCCTGGACCAGGGGTCGGATGGGGGGGGGCGGGGGCGGACGCGGCGGACGTCCTCCGTGCGACGCGGAGCACCCTGCCCTGGGCGCGACGATGTCTGCGGGGAGGGCGCAGCCCCATACTTTCGGAACCTGCGACGGTTTCGCGCGCGCCCAGACCTTGACAGGGGGGGGGGGGGGGGGCAGGGGGCGACGAGAACCACGGGTGCCCTCCGCGCGACGCGGAGCACCCTGGGCGAGACGATGTTTGCAGGGGGGGCTCAGCCCCACCCCGCCGGTCTTGTGCCGATCAGGCGCGCTCCTGGACCTGGGGTTGGAGGGGGGGGGGCGGGGGCGGGCGCCTCGGGCGCCGCCCGTGCAGCCCCATCCCGCCGGTTCTGCGCCGATATAGGCGCGCTCCTGGACCCGGAGCTGAAGGGGGCGGGGCGGGGGCGGACGCCGCGGGCGGACGCCGCGGACGCCCTCCGCGCAATTCGGGTCGCCCTGGGCGCGACGATTTCTGCAAGGGCGGCGCAGCCCCACCCCGCCGACGTCGCAGATCTGGACGGTAGGGGGGAAGGGGGGGTGGGCGAGCACCGCGGATGCCCTCCGCGCTACGCGTGGCACGGTTTGGGAGCAACGCTGCCCGCAGGGAGGGCGCAGCCCCACCCCGCAGACTTTGCGCCGATTTGGTGCGCTGCGCTCGCGGCCTCGTCGCCGCAGCTGGACTTCCGGCGCGTCGGAGAACGCGGGGGCGGAGGACGGGGGGGGCCTGGGCGCCCCTCGTCGCCGCGGCCGGAAAGCGGGACCCAGCGCCGCAATCCTGAGCAGCGCGACGAACCCTTGTCGCAGCGTCTGGAGCAGCACTGCGGACGAGCGAGCCTTGGACCCAGACCTGACGCTGATGAAAGGAATTGGGGGCGCAGCAGCGCCTCGCCAGGACCCCGCCCATTCGGAAGCGGACCTAGTGGAGGCGCCGGACTGCAGGTTACCGCGAACAACGGTGCCCCCAGGCGCGGTGCTGGCACAAGCGACGCGATTCAGCCAGCGCGCGAGGTGCCCGCGGTTTCGGGCCCCACCCCGGCGCCCCGGGGCCCATGGCGAAGGCGGGGCGCAGCGTCGGCCAGACGCCCAAGCAGCGAACGGGACCAGGTAGTGAGACAGAGTTGAGGGGGTGACCGATCCCCTTGGCTCGACTGCAGGTATTCCCGCTGACGCGCCCCCTGGCTCCTGAGTTCGAGCGTGGACACGTGTGGCCAGGTCCGCGCTGTTCTTCTTGGTCCAGCCGTCTGCCACAATGCGCCCCATGGCATGGCCGCCCCGACGGTGCGCGCGGCCGCCGCTACATGTAGGGTATCGGGGTGCCGTTCTGCCCGGTGGCCGGGGGGCTGGGCCCGCAGGTCGGCGCGGCAGTGCTGCCCGGGAGGAGGTAGCAAGGCGGGCAGCGCCGCAGTCAATCGCCCAGTCGGCAGCGGCCCTTTCAATTCGCCCCCATTCGCCCGCCCTCCCTCGACTGCGGATCGGGCGGCCCCATGTGTCCGCGGGGCGGGGGCGGCGCCCCGGGGGGCCGCCCCGCGACCGCCTTGGTCCAAGATGGCGTCGCCGACGCCGGCGCCAGCCCCGACGTCGACGCCGACGCCAACCCCGTCGCCGCCGCGCGTCCTGGACGCCCCTCGTCGCCGCGGCCAGAATGCGGAACCCGCCGGCACAATCGTGAGCAGCGAGACCCAGCGGCCCATTCCAGTCGGGGCAGTGCGCGGCGCCCGCCCCTGCAGCCCGCCGGGCCAGCGGCGGCGGCCGGCGACTGGGTTTTCGATGACGAGCCTCAGCGCGCGGACCCACCGCCCGCCCGGGAGGCCCCCCGCCCCTCCCCAGCAATTAACGGCGGCCCCGCCCCAGCGCCATTCCGCGAAGGGAGACGCCTCTCTTTGCCTGCGCGGCGTGAGTTTCTGCTCCTCGAGACACTTGGGCCGCTTTGGCAGGCGCCCGCGCCCGCTGGGGTCCGTTCACTTCGGAGCGCAGGATGCGCGGCAACGGGCGGGCGCGCCCTGGCGATGTCCATTCCCGGCGCGCGCCCTGCTCGACCGGTGGCCCGCGTCAGGAGGGCGCAGCACGCAGGCGGTGAACCTGGGGCGGCCTGGAGCAGATTCCGCGCTCGCGTGGCGGAGGCGCCCGCGACCCCAGCCGGCGCGACGCCACTTTCCTTCGCAGTTTCCCCCGCCATGCCCCGTCACCCCTGCCCCTGTGCCCATGATTTTGCACGATGCAGCACCGGATTTTCCTGCGCCGATCAGGTGCCGCGACCTGGCCCACCTTGCCCATCCTGGCAGTGGGGGCCGCAGGTTTCAGCCAGTTTCGACTGGCCACGGAGCGCCACCTGCTGCCCCACCCGGCGGTGAGCGGCCGCCTTGGCCTTCCCGTTGGTTCACCCTGTCCACCTGGGCAGCGGGGGCCCCTCCTGGGATGTTGGTTTGGCGCGTGGAGTTTGGCAGTCTGGGCCGCTAAACGTCGTACACGTGCCTTGAGATCCTGGAAATTTGATGTTTTCGAAATGGACGTTTTCCCCGGTGTCGGGTCCCGAGACCTTCCCGGATCGATCTGGCAACGTTTCGCCACGTCGCGCTGCCTTTGCGGGTTCACGCAGACTTCCTGTCATCTTACCTGACTTGTGGGGGCGCGAGGAGGACATCGCCGCGGACGGTTGCGAGGACAGCACCGACATGATGTGGACCACGATGTGGAGGATGATGCGGAACTCCGCTCTGGCTGCGAGGTCGGCGAGCTCACGCCGAATCCTTTCCGGGGGCCCCAGTCTTCCTGCGTCGATGGTTCCGCTGGTGGTCACAGCTTCGATGGGTGCCACGTCGACGTCGCTGGCGCAATCCATCAAGCGAGAGAGTGTGAGGAAACCGTTCGTGTGACAGCATGCGGCATGCTGGGGGTGCCGCCTGGTTCGACGCCCGACCCTGGAGAGGGCCGCTTGTCCCCTTTAGTTTCACGTTGGACACGTATGCGCGCTATGTGGCTGGGTTGTGTGTGCGGGCTTCCGAATTTCAGTATAATGCCAAGTTGTTCGAAGCGTGCTCGGTGACAACGGTGGTGGAGCGTGGTATTTTGCGCGTTCCTGCATGGTGTCGTCGTGTACGGCTACGTTGTTTTTTTTTTGGGGGGGGTGGACTCCGACTGAATATATGAGGTTTGGGCGTTGATGTACAAACGGCACGTTTTTTGTTTTGTGTAGTGCCCCTTTCACCGGAGTGGACGAGGGATGATGCGAAGGACGTGGAAGATGATGAGTAGATGGAGGAGGCGTAAAATGAGGCGAGTACGTATGGAGGTGGGAGGCTGGTTTGATGATAGTGATATCGATGAGGAGGGTGATCAGGAGCAGAGGGAAGTGAGGCTGTAGAAGGATGATGAGGAAGAGACAGAGGAGCCAGAAGGGACGAAGGACTCGACAGGAGGGAACAAAAACATGACGAGAGGACGAGCAGGCGGTGACGACCGAGAGAGAGGGGCGCAGGCGGGGGATGAAGGAGAGGGTGCTTGTCGCGTTGCTTCTCCGCTGATTTTGCACAAGTGGTCGTCGGGCGACGATGCGCGCTCAGAAGAGCAGCAGGGATGGGGGAGGCAGCAGGAGGAAGGAGGAGTAGGGGGATGCCGGAAGCGGAGGGACGTGGACGGATGAGGACGAGAAGAGGCCCCTGAGGCCCCCAGAGGCTCGAGGGCCAGATACGTTCAACGCCCTTGATCATCGAAGGAGGAGGAGGAGGAGGAGGAGGAGGAGGAGGAGGAGGAGGAGGGAAAAGGAGGAAAAAGAGGGAGAAGAAGGAGGATGTAGAGGAGGAGGGAGGAGGAGGAAGAGGAGGAGGAGGAGGAGGAGGAGGAGGAGGAACAGAAAAAGGAACAGAAGGAAGAGGGACGGCGCGACACCTGGCGCAGCGCAGCAGCAGAAGGCAGCAGAGGAGCGACAGCGGTTTCCCGAGAAGCCGTTGCCCCCGACCCGAGGGCGCCTGGCGGCCTCGGTGCTGCCAGATGCGCTCACGGCGGCGATTGGTTTCGGCTTGCCCCCGGTGCTGATCCAGGCGTTGCCGCTGATCCTCGGCCAGGCGCCCCCGGGCCCTCTGGAAGGTCGGGGCGTTCTGGAAGGGTTTGGAATGTCGTCGTCGTCGTCGTCGTCGTCGTCGTCGTCGTTTTGGAAGGTTTTGGGCGTCGCCACGACTGCGTGCGGCCTGGAAGTCTGGTCGGGGGTTGGGCCCTGGAGGGACCAGGGACGCCTCTTTTGGGCGGGATCCGGTGCAGTAGTATCATCTCTCGAATGCAGACGGTTTCAGAGGATGCAGGTTTCGCGCGGCTGGCTCAGCCAGTAAGCTCGGAGGGCGTCCACTATACACACGGCTGTTGGCCAGGCGGATGATGAGGTCAGGATTTGTTTGCAGGTTTTCCCGGCCAGGTCAGGGAGCACATACGTCGATCTTGGGCCTCAGGATCGGCCCAGCCAGTCTCGGTGCAGGCCAGGTGCATCGCTGGCCCCCCTTGCACCGTGCTCGTTGACGCGACGAGGTGTCTCGGGCTGCTCAGTCGCCCCCAGTGTGCGGCGCGCACGAGGGGGCGGCGAAGGCGGGGGAGGCTCTTCTGATAACGCGGGGGGAATCCTGAAAGCCAGGGAATTTCCAAGAGGGGCCCTGATCTATGCCTCCCAGATGGGGCCGGAGCAGATGGGGCGGGAGGATAGCACCGCATCGGCGATGCATCGCCGATGCGGCTCGATGTGGAGCCCGATGTTCTCCACGCCGACGGCGGCGATGCAGCGCCGACGTCGCCGCCTCATCGCCAATGCATCGGCAATGCGTCGCCGATGCATCGCCGATGCCATCCACTCCGACCCCATCCGGGAGGCCTCTACCAGAGGCTTCTGAGAAGGCCCCATCGGAGCCAGGAGGGCTTCTTAGATGCCTCCTGCCTTCCCAGAAGCCCCGCCGCCTCCTCAGACGGCCGCCCCCTCGAGCCCCTTCCCATGAGTGTCGGAAGGAAGAAGGAGGGAGAGCAGGAGGAGCAGGAGCAGGAGCAGGAGCAGGAGAAGCAGAAGAAGCAGGAGCAGTAGGAGGAAGAAAAGGAGGAGGAGGAGGAGGAGGAGGAGGAGGAGGAGGAGCAGCAGGAGGAGGAGGAGGAGGAGGAGGAGGAGGAGGAAAAGGAGGAGGAGGGAGAGGAGGTGGAGGAGGAAAAGGAGGAGGGGGGTGAGGAGGAAACGCAGATGGGAGGTGTGGGGAGTGTGGGGGGGGGGTCGAGGAGGAGGAGGAGGAGGAGGAGAGGAACAGGGAGCAGGAGCAGGAGCAGGAGCAGGAGCAGGAAGAGGAGCAGGAAGAGGAGGAGGTGGGTCAGGAGGTGGAGGGGGGAGGAGGAGGAGGAGGAGGAGGAGGAGGGAGGAGGAGGAGGAAAGGAGGAGGAGGAGGAGGAGAAAAAGGAGGAGGAGGAAGAGGAGGAGGAGGAGGAGGAGGAGGACGAGACGGATGAGGAGGAGTCGTTACCATACGTTCCCTGCCGCCTTTCATGTACAGATAGAACCTTGCTTGCACTGATAGTTGACCATAGTTACTGCGGATTGGAAAAGGTCGCGCGCGTGCCCCGCGCACGTATTGCTTATACAATCCATTTTTCTTTCCACATTGCTTAACGGACATTCGAATCTTTACTTTCCGCCATGTCCTGGGATCCGCTAGTATGGGCCCCAACACTACGACCAGCACGACCTGATGATTTGAGCCCTGTTTGGCTGGACTTGGGTCAAGATGGGAGGAGGAGGGCGGAGAGGAGGAGGAGGACGCGGAGGAGAAAGAGGAGGAGGAAGAGGAAGAAGAGGAGGAGGACGCGGAGGAGGAGGAGGAGGAGGAGGAGGAGGAGGAAGAGGAAGAGGAGGGACAGGAGGAGGAGGAGGAAGAGGAGGAGGAGGAGGAGGAGGGAAAGGAAAAGGAGGAGGAGGAGGGCGACGAAGAGGGGGAGGAGGGCGAAGGAGGAGGAGGAGGAGGGCGGAGGGGAGGAGGAGCAGGAGGAGGAGAGCGGAGGAGGAGGAGGAGGAGGAGGAGGAGGAAGGGGGAGGAAGAGGAAGAGGAGGAGGAGGAGGAGGAGGAGGGAGAGGAGGAACAAGGGTGGAGTACTCGTTGCACGCCTGCGTTATATATTACAGTCTAGGGCCGCATCCCAAGAATCGTTTTAATACGGTACGTACCAGTGACTGACACCTCACCGGGCCAGCCTCACAGGCCAGCCTTAGCAGTAGCGCGTGCCCGTGAAGCAGTTTGTACCCATTGCCTATTTCTTTGAGTGGGGAAGGGGGGTACGCAGTCTGTTGCAGGCAGCTGGGTTCGGCCCCGCCGCCAGACGCTGTCCTAGAGACATTGGCGCCTCTGGCACCCGGAACCGCCCGAGAAATAAGCTGGGCGTGCTGATTGGCTCACTTGACCCGTGCCAGCTTCCCACTTCGATCCGTTCGATCCGATTCGAATCGATGCCGAGTTCATTCGGCTCGATCGGGTTCGATTTTGTTTTCCTGGGGATCCGTTGCGGCCCGATGTTTGCGCAGCGCAGTTGTGCATCCTGGCGCGGCCAATCCGATTCGATTCCGACTCCGTGCCGATGCGGCCCGAACCGACGAATTTTCCGATCCGACCCGGTGTTCGTTTCCGGCGTTCACCGATCTTGCCAGGCGCAAGAGAAAAGGGCGACCTTGAAGGAGCTGGCGGCGTGCTCCCCGCAGGAGAACCCCACCCCGCGGAGCCCGCGCGGTCCGCTCAGCTCTGCCGCCGCGCTCCCCGAGCTGTCGGACAGCAGGAGCAACACGGGGGGCGAAGAAGTGGCGTCGTGTTCTTCCCCATTCGGTCCTGCGAGTGTTGCCAGGGTTGTCCATGCAGGATCCATTCTGATCTGGTACCGATGTTCCAGCGATCCGATGCGGATCGATACTCGCACCATCGTTATTGTGCATCTTGGCGCGGCTGGTTCTAGTCGATTTCGATCCGATCCGATTTCTGATTCGACGCCGATTGAACATGCCTATTCCTCCTCGCTCTTCGGGTGTTGCCAGAAATGTCTCTGGCCCAAAGTGTCCCTAGATCACCCCTCGCGAGGCCCAGAGAGCTCAATGATGACGAAACGCTGAGGTCAATTTGGACCAGGGACACCTTCAGCCCCCTGAGTTCACTTCGACCTTCTGGTCGAGGAGCAAAAAACGGCATACAGTGGGAACGCGCACCAAGAATTTGTATTGTTTTCCTCCGGGTGCCCTTGGTTTCGTATTTCCCAGCGGTGCTCGGTGACCTCCCCTGATCGTCCCTGAGTCTCCCCCATTCTCGCACCTCGCTCATTTCCTTATCACGCCTTGGGAACAGACTTCTCCAGCCAGGGTACCCTGGGTTTCTCCAATTGGAGTCCATGATTGAAGCCCCTGGGAATCCAAGACCCTGGGCAAGGCAATTTTTTGGGATTTTCAGGGCTGGACCCGGTGCCAAGTGCGGCAGGGTATCCATGCCCACCTTCACCAGTGATCTTGAGCATAACTCCGGCAGATGTAGGTGTGGATGTGGATGTTTCTTTACGATGAATATTATTCTCGTTCTTCTTCTCGCCCTCTGGTTGAGTTGCGTGGACCACTTATAAATCCTGGATTCTGTCAGCACCGAAGGAAAGTAACAATTAGAATAAGCAAATCAAATAGTAATGAAATAATGCATACCTCCGCGGTGTGTCCCGGTAGTGTTGGACATTACGATCCGTGTGATTGTTTGTAGTTTGTTAGCCCTCTGTTTTTTTATTTTCGGATAATGAGTTTTCCTCTCCGGCATTTGCCCGTAATTCCGAACATTTCAATCCTTGCGATTGTTTTTTGTTTAGCTCCCGGTATTTTCCGGAATTATATTTTTATGTTATTTCTCGAACGGTCCAACAGGATGTCGTCGTCCGCGCACCTCAACCTTCTGAGTCTTCCTCAGCCTCTTGGACAGCAGGAAAGAAGAGATAAGGCAGGTTCGCGCCGCGTCGACGCGCTGGTGACCCCGACTCGGGTATGCAAGGTTGAACGCCGCCAGTGGCCCCGAATCGGTCGTCTTCGAACGTACCGCACCATCAGAAACTGGTGATGGGTCAAGGTCGGACGATCCAGTCGGTGTCAGAGACCAGCACCGACGCCCAGGGAGTTGCAGTACATCGTTTGTTGAATTCGGAGCAGATTTGTCCACGGCGTAGCTTGCCAGGCAGCGGGCAGGTCAGCATTTGAAGTTATGTGGTGAAAGCCCGCGCGCGCATGGCTCTCTGTAGTGAGGTGTGTCTGCTTCTGCTCCTCTTCGCCGGCATGAGGTAGAGTGCACGGGTTCTGTTCCTGGCAATACCAATGCATCTTTCTGGTTCTGCTCGGCGCGCGCTCTCTCTGTCATTCCCTTTTTGATTTTGGTTTGTTCTCTCTCCCTCGCTCTCCATCTCTCCCCCTCCGATCCCAGTGGTAACCGCGCTTCGCGCACCCCGCGAGGGGCTGCGCAAGCAAGATCCTTTGGCTTTCGCCACACCGCCGACCCCTCGGGGAACTGGCGGTTGGTGTGTGTTGCTCCTGAGGGCCTTTTGTGCGCCTTTGGTCGGCTTCTTGGAGCTCTTCTAGGGCTTCATGGGGGCCTCTTGGGAGCCTTTCCGGGACCTCTTGGGCTGACATTCTCAGCATCCGCCGTGCACGTATGGGGAATGGGGCGAGAACCCGCGTATTCCCACAAGGGCATTTGTAAAACCACCCGACGAATGATTATCGAAGACGTTTACGGCGAATCACCGCCGCCCCCTGCCTTCCTGGAAGCGCCTATGTGGCCGAACGTTGAGGCCAGACCTGCCAAGCTATCGGACCATGTGTTCCCCGAATCGGTTTGGAAAGCCTTCGGGGAGCACGTGGGCATCTTGAAGGTCATCTTGGCCGTCTGGAGGCCATTTTGACCCTTTCGGGCCTTCTTGGAGGACGTCTTGGAGGGCTCTTGGGCCGTCTTGGAGGCCATCTTGAGCGTCTTGGAGACCTCTTGGGCCGTCTTGGGGGCCTCTTGGGGCCGTGTCTTGGGCCTCTTGGGCGATCTTTGGGGGCACTTGGGCCGTCTCGGGCCGTCGGAAAGCAGAAACAAAAACAAATGCCACAATCCTTCAAAAACCAATGAGAAATCCATGATTTTTGCCTTTTCGGGCCTTCCTGCGCAACTGTCGCCACTTCCGTGGGCTCCTGGGAGGCCCAGCGGAGGTACGTCCCACGCGGACCACCTCGGGACTTCGCCGCCCCCTGGGGGGCTTGCGATCTGTGCAACTGTCGCCACTTTCGTGGGCTCCTGGGAGGCCCAGCCGAGGTACGTCCCACGCGGATCACCTGAGGACCTCGCCGCCCCCTAGGGGGCTTGCGATCTGTGCAATTGTTGCCACTTTCGTGGGCTCCTGGGAGGCCCAGCCGAGGTACGTCCCACGCGGATCACCTCGGGACCTCGCCGCCCCCTGGGGGGCCTGCGATCGGCGCAACTGTCGCCACTTTCGTGGGCTCCTGGGAGGCCCAGCGGAGGTGGGTCCCACGCGGACCACCTCGGGACCTCGAAGCCCCCTGGGGGGCTTGCGATCTGTGCAACTGTCGCCACTTTCGTGGGCTCCTGGGAGGCCCAGCGGAGGTGGGTCCCACGCGGATCACCTCGGGACCTCGCCGTTCCCTGGGGGGCTTGCGATCTGTGCAACTGTTGCCACTTTCGTGGGCTCCTGGGAGGCCCAGCCGAGGTACGTCCCACGCGGATCACCTGAGGACCTCGCCGCCCCCTAGGGGGCTTGCGATCTGCGCATTTGTCGCCACTTTCGTGGGCTCCTGGGAGGCCCAGCGGAGGTGCGTCCCACGCGGATCACTCGGAGGTAAGTCATAATTTCACGTTTCTTTCAACGCCACTGTGTTCCAATTTTGTATATTTGCCGTTCCTCTTCTTGCTGCGCTCTTCTGAAATCACTGCTGGGTGCTCTTCTTGCGCACTGCGGGTCCTTCAGAATGCCAGTCAGCATTGAGTGGTCCTGAGTATAATCGCCACATGTATAGAAAGGGTTGGGTACGTCACAGGGTAATTTTTACCTAGCCGCGGGGCGACCTTCTTGTGCGAAAACAACGTTGCCAATTTCTTGCTCGACGCACGCTCTTCTGCAACTTTTGCGCCCCCGTCCTGGAGTCGCACGGCTGGTTGTTTCGACAGCATTGTCCGGCGGCGATCGAGAGGGGGAAATGAGAACGAAAAGGTTTTCTCATAATTCGGCGCGACATATCAGAAACCCCCGCGCCGTATGAGAAGATTTCTGCGTCTTCCGGGAAGGCTCCGACAACTTGTCTGAAGGCTGGGGGGTTTCCGAGCCGGCTGAGAAGGCCTGCCCCTTTGCCCAGTCTCTCTTCCCCCCAGGCTCGCCACCGAACTGTTGCAGAGAAAAAGCAGACGCGTTGTCGTGCTTCAGCAGAAGGGTGTTTTTTGTCCGACTGCGGGACGCTTGTCCCAGGACGGTCGGCCATTTGCCGCCGTAGGGATATGGATTTTCCAGCCGCCATTTGGCAGGCGTCCCCCACGGCGGAACACGTTTTGTTTTCAACGTTATTCGTCCGTTGAGTGTTGTGTCTCTTGCCCGACTTCAGGAACTCGCTCATGGCTGCGCTCCAGAAGAAGGTGATCACTGCCCCGGAGGTTCCGATCGCAGATATAAACAAGCTGGGCAGAGGCGAGGTGGTGAAGGTGATCGGCGACGTCAGCAAGGTCAAGGAGGCCTCCTGGAGGGACGGGGAAACAGTCGGGTCTGACGAGTCGAACGAAACTACAGCGCCTCGTGCCCGCCTCATGTCAGAAGACATCCCGATTGCGTAGCAGGACGAGTCGGGGCGGCCAGCAGGGGAGGCGGCCAGATTTCCATCATTTCGGCCTCAGCCTCGCCAGAGGCAAGTATCCGTGTTATGTGTTGCCGACGGCAACGCGCTCCGTGAGTCGTGTTTGTCTCAATGGGCCGTGCTTCTGCGAGCGATCGGCGCCACACGGTGCCAATTGGCGACTCCTGGGCAAAATTCCTTCGGAGGGAGGAAAGGCCGCCTACGGGCCACCTCTGGCGAGAAGGCTAACGATGCCTCCCCGACCCACAGAGTGGAGGTGTCTGTTGCGGGACGCCGCGAGTCAGGGGCACCACACCACCTGGAGGGTCCCATTCTTCAAGTTTTTGCCAGATTGACTTCAATCTTGATGATTCGAGGAGGGCTGAGTTTTTCTCTTTTGTGTTTTCGCGTAACCATCCTGTGGTGTTCGGTTCTCGGTTTGGAGGGGCAGAGCCCCGCGTCCTTCCTTCCTCTTCGCTCTCCTCCCCCCTCTCCTCCCATCCCTGCCTCTGCCCTCCGAGTGTAAAACGTGCCGGCACACCCCTCACACCCCTCACACGTTTCGTGGCCCCACAGGGAGCTCCACCGAAGGCCCCAGCGGAAGCGCCCGCATGGCACCTCTGCACCCGCTTCGGCACAACCTTCACACATATTGTGGCTTCATAGGGAGCTCCACCTAAGGCCCCACAGGTAGCACCCGCATGGCAGTGCCACATTCGTTTCGGCTCACCCTTGACACGCTAGGTGGCCCCATTCGGAGTTCTTGCTGAGGCCCAAGCGGCAGCGTCCGCATGGCACTACCGCACCCGTTGCGGCACACACGACCCACGTTTCGAGGCCCCACGGAGCTCCAGCTAAGGCCCGAGTGGCAGCGCTCGCATGGCACCACCGCGCTCGTTTCGGCCTGCCCCACCCACGCATCGTGGCCCCATAGGGAGCTCCAGCTGAGGCCCCAGTGGCAGCGCCCGCACGGCAGCACCAGACCCGTTTGGGCCCACCCTTTACACGTTCCGGGAATTACACCAACGGCCTCAGTGGCATCGCCCGCATGGCACCACCGCGCCCGCTTCGGCACACCCTTGCCACGTTTCGTGGCCCCCTGGCCCCTGTGGAGCTCCACCGAAGGCCCCGGTGGAAGCACCCGCGTGGCACCGCCTCACCCACTCCGGCACACCCCTCACAGGTCCAGCATTCCTTGCTCACGGAAAGGGAGCGAAAAGAAGAACAGTTCTTGAAGAGAAAAAGAGTTGACCCTTGAAAAGGAATTGCATATTGCATTTTTGGGCGAGTGATTCTGATCATCTGGCCGATTGATAGATCGCCTGCTGCAATGAGCTTAGGCATCAGTCGATGTTTGCGTGCAGGTTGCAGGTGAGTGGGCGGACATAGTCGGCGCAATTCGGTTGTCCAACCATCATTTCAATAAAAGCATCGCTGTTTAGGGTCTCCATACCCGCGCGCGCATCCTTCCAATTTCCGCACCCGCGGAGGCGTCGGGGCGATCGCCAGGAGAAGCGCCCCCGAAGAGGTATTCAGGTCGAGTTTCCGCGGCGGGCGGTCGGGGTCGCTTCGTGACGCCATTTGTGATCCTTTCCGTGTCACCATTCGTGTTGTTTCTTGTGTCACCTTTCGTTCAGCTCGTCTTTGAACATCTACTACTACTACTACTACTACTACTACTACTACTACTACTACTACTACTACTACTACTACTACTACTACTACTACTACTACTACTACTATGGTGGCTTCCTTTCCCCTGAGCACAAAAGCCATTTTCGTATTTTGGTACTACTACTACTACTACTACTACTACTACTACTACTACTACTACTACTACTACTACTACTACTACTACTACTACTACTACTACTACTACTACTACTACTACTACTACTACTACTACTACTACTACTACTACGACTACTACACTACTACTACTACTACTACTACTACTACTACTACTACTACTACTACCTACTACCTACTACCTACTACCTACTACCTACTACCTACTACCTACTACTACTACCTACTACTACTACTACTACTACTACTACTACTACTACTACTACTACTACTACTACTACTACTACTACTACTACTACTACTACTACTATGGTGGCTTCCTTTCCCCTGAGCACAAAAGCCATTTTCGTATTTTGGTACACGCCAAGTTGAGAACCGAACACGGTATCGTCGGAGCATCGTTCTTCCAGATGTGTGTGGCGCTACGATTCTGAACGCCCGTTAGCCTTGCTTCGCCATGCAATATTGTGAGGAGGTCGCGCGAGCAGGCGCCGATGCAGCGTTGCGCTGGCGCCCCTGTGCGTCGCACATGTCTGCGCGTCTTTCTGTTGTTTCCCCGATCTCGCGGAGGGGCTCCCGTTGCGTGTTCCCCTGGGGGGGCCCCGGGCGGGGGGCTCCCCGGGAGGACGTGGCGGCCACGGGCGGAACGCCGGCGGAAGACGGCCGCAGTCGGCCCCATCCTGGCAGACGCGCATCATGGGGAGCACGGGCAGCCCCAGGATGGTCCGCAAGATGGTGCACAGGGGCCACGGGTCGCCGAAGAGGCCTGCACCGCGCTGACCTGCACGGGCCCCGAGGGCTCAGTCGGGCCTGTCCCCCTACAGGAGGGACATGCACATCCCTCTGCAGGAGGGATGTGCAAAGATGGTCAAGAAATAGTCGGGGGGGGGGGGATGGTTTGACGATGTTTGCCTATTTTTGCGCAGCTTGGTGTCCCGCATTTTTCGCCCCAAAATCCGCCTGCAGGGGGACGTGCCCGACCTCACCCGAGGGCCCGGACGGCGGCCCCGGGTCGGCGAAGAGGCGCCCGCAGCGCCCCCCACGGCCTCGCACGGCCGCCCGGCGGCCCGCGCCGAAGGTGGCCTCCAGAGGATCCCATTGAGGCCGCCAAGGAGGGCCCCGGCGTGGCGGCCTGCGAGGGGGCGCTTCGCCGCCTCCGGCCGCAGCAGCGGGCGCGCCGAGGCCCGCGCGCGCCGCTCTGTCCTGTGGAAGGCGAGCGGGAGCGGCCGTGCCGCGCCTCGCCACCTCGCCTCGCCTCGAGGGCCTCCATTCACCTCTTGAGGGTGTTCCGATATTTCTCGCGCTTCCGCTTTTCGGGCTCCCCGAAGCTCCCAGACGGCCCAAAGAGGCCCCAGAGGTGGTCCCAAGACGGCTGAAGAGGCCCCCAGGAGGGCGCCCTCACGGCCCACGAGGATGCCCAGACGGCTCAGGGGGCTTCCAAGACGGCCCAAAAAGGCTCCAGCATCGCCCCAAGAGGGGCCCCAGAGAGGGAGCACGGACTAACATTTACAGCGTGCCGCCCACATAGATCCCCAGGAGGTCCCTATGAGGCCCCCATGAGGCTACAAGTAGAGTCCTAGAGGCCCCCAGGAAGCCCCCAGGAAGCCCAGGTGGCTGGGCCCCTCGCAAGGCTGATCTTGCATTCCAAAGAGGGCCTTGCCTTCGAGGATCGAAAAAGTTTCCATCTCTTCTTCGGCGGAAGGCGGCGGAAGGTCGGCGACAGGCGGCGGAAGTGCAACGGCGGCGGCTCGACGTGCGGAAGCTCGCGGAAGTACAGGACGCGCCCCCAAAAGATGGCAACGTGTTTGGGTCCAGGGTTCCCGGGATCGGTCATATCGGGGGACGGAAGTGTCGGAACTCGATTGACCTCTTACTTTGACACGTCGATTAAGGAAGGAATTGGCCGTTTTCGGTTCGCGAGAAGTCGTCGCGGCCGTCATTTTGGCGGGTCCAGGTCCGTCGGTTTCGGTCCTCCGCCGGTTTGTCCACCGCCGAGAAGTGTCGGGACACAAACGCGGAGTTGCAGAAAGGTGCGCCGTTCCGCCCCCTGTTGGGGCCGTGGTGGCAGCTTCAGCCCTGGGGTGCCGTTTCTTCCCGCAGCCCTCGATCTCACTTCCCGCTTTTGCCCCCCCCAAGATTTTTCCCAACCATCCTGTGGTGTTGGGTCCTCGTTTTGAAGAGACGGTCCCCGCGTTTTCCTCATCTTCCTCCTCTTCCCCCTCCTCCTCCACCGTCCGCATGCGTCCCGCACACCCAGTACAGCGTTTCGTGGTCATCCTGCCCCTCCTCCCTGCGCTTCACCCACCCAGTACAACGTTTCGTGGCCCCATAGGGAGCCCCACCGAAGGTCCCAGTGCTTCCGCCCACATGCGTCCCGCACACCCAGTACAGCGTTTCGTGGCTCCATAGGGAGCCCCACCGAAGGTCCCAGTGCTACCGTCCGCATGTGTCCCGCACACCCAGCACAGCGCTTCGTGGCCCCATAGGGAGCTCCACCGAAGGTCACAGTGCTACTGTCCGCATGCGTCCCGCACACCAAGTACAGCGCTTCGTGGCCCCATAGGGAGCCCCACCGAAGGTCCCAGTGCTACCGTCCGCATGCGCCCCGCGCACCCAGTACAGCGTTTCGTGGCCCCATAGGGAGCTCCACCGGAGGTCCCAGTGCTACCGTCCGCATGCGGCCCGAACACCCTGTACAGTGTGTCGTGGCCCCATAGTGAGCTCCTCCGAAAGTCCCAGTGCTACCGTCCGCATGCGTCCCGCACGCCCAGCACAGCGTTTCGTAGTCCTCCTGTCCCTCTTCCCTGCGTTTCACCCACCCAGTACAGCGTTGCGTTGCCTCATAGGGAGCCCCACCGAAGGTCCCATTGCTACCGTCCGCATGCGTCCCTCACACCCAGTACAGCGTTTCGTGGCCCCATAGGGAGCCCCACCGAAGGTCCCAGTGCTACCGTCCGCATGCGCCCCGCACACCCAGTACAGCGTTTCGTGGCCCCATAGTGAGCTCCACCGAAGGTCCCAGTGCTACCGTCCGCATGCGCCCCGCGCACCCAGTACAGCGCTTCGTGGCCCCATAGTGAGCTCCACCGAAGGTCCCAGTGCTACCGTCCGCATGCGTCCCGCACACCCAGTACAGCGTTTCGTGGCCCTCCTCCCCCTCCTTCCTGCGTTTCACCCACCCAGTACAGCGCTTCGTGGCTCCATAGGGAGCCCCACCGAAGGTCCCAGTGCTACCGTCCGCATGCGCCCCGCGCACCCAGTACAGCGTTTCGTGGCCCCATAGGGAGCTCCACCGGAGGTCCCAGTGCCCCCGTCCGCATGCGTCCCGCACATCCTGTACAGTGTTTCGTGGCCCCATGGGGAGCCCCACCGAAGGTCCCAGCGCTACCGTGCGCATGCGTCCCGCACACTCAGTACAGCGTCTCGTGGCCCTCCTCCCCCTGCTCCCTGCGTTTCACCCACCGAGTACAGCGTTTCGTGGCCCCATAGGGAGCTCCACCGAAGGCCCCAGTGCCCCCGTCCGCATGCGTCCCAGAAGCTTAATTTGGCATTTTCACACACCCAGTGCAGCGCCTCGTGGCTCCATAGGGGGCTCCACCCAAGGCCCCTGTGCCACCGTCCGCATGCGTCCCGCACATCCTGTACAGTGTTTCGTGGCCCCATAGTGAGCTCCTCCGAAAGTCCCAGTGCTACCGTCCGCATGCGTCCCGCACGCCAAGTACAGCGTTTCGTGGCCCTCCTCCCCATCCTCCCTGCGTTTCACCCACCCAGTACAGCGTTGCGTTGCCTCATAGGGAGCTCCACCGATGGTCCCAGTGCTACCGTCCGCATGCGCCCCGCGCACCCAGTACAGCGTTTCGTGGCCCCATAGGGAGCTCCACCGAAGGTCCCAGTGCCCCCGTCCGCATGCGTCCCGCACATCCTGTACAGTGTTTCGTGGCCCCATGGGGAGCCCCACCGAAGGTCCCAGCGCTACCGTGCGCATGCGTCCCGCACACTCAGTACAGCGTTTCGTGGCCCTCCTCCCCCTGCTCCCTGCGTTTCACCCACCGAGTACAGCGTTTCGTGGCCCCATAGGGAGCTCCACCGAAGGCCCCAGTGCCACCGTCCGCATGCGTCCCAGAAGCTTAATTTGGCATTTTCACACACCCAGTGCAGCGTTTCGTGGCTCCATAGGGGGCTTCACCCAAGGCCCCTGTGCCACCGTCCGCATGCGTCTGGGAAATATAATTTGGCATTTTCACCCGCGCAGTGTAGCGCTTCGTGGCTTCTTAGGGGGCTCCACCGAAGCCCCCAGTGGGACCGTCCGCATGCGTCCCGGTAACCCAATTTGGCATTTCACTCACTATAGAGCGCTTCGTGGCCCCATAGGGAGCTCCACCGAAGCCCTCAGTGGAACCGTCCGCATGCGTGCCAGAAACCCAATTCGGCACACCACCCACACAGTACAGCGCTCCCCCCCGCCCAGTGCAGCGCTTCGTGGCCCCATTGGGAGCTTCACCGAAGCAGATATTCACAATTACGGTACCCACAACTGCATATGGTTGGGACCTTCGCCAGGATAATTCAAGACCCGGCGGCCTCAGATCGGACCCGTCGCGGTCAAGCAAGGCGTTGGGATGCCACGGCGAGCGAATTGGACACGGAAGAAAAGGACGGGAGGGAGGCGCGAGCGAGGCGGAGACCGTGCTGAGAACGTGTAGCCCTTTGCACGCGTACCCCCCCTCCGAGAGTTCCTACCCGACGGAAAGCCTCGCGAGAGCGCCAAGCCAGCCGAGCCTCGCGCTCAACGCGGCGCGAGGCGCGAGCTTGGGCGCCTCTCCACGGTCACCCCGCGGACCGAACCCGACCCCCCCGCCGCCCATGGATGACATGTACATAAAACTCGGGGGTCTGCGCGGATTCCTCGGGTCGGCGCTGGGGATCCTGGGCGGCGCTTCCGGCGCCGCCCCTGGCGCGTTCCGCGCGCCAGGAAGAGGAGTTCAGCGCCTGTCCGGGGAATCCGCGCGGACTTCGAGCTTTCATCTTTGTATCATTGCTTGCTTTCTTACACGTCCTCTGGGGACCATGGTTGTTCACAAGAACCCAGACGAGTCCGAACCCGCTGGGCCGCATGGTTCGAAGAAGGCGAAGCTTCATGGACATTCATGTCTGGGGGTCCGCGTGGATGTCTTGGATTAGTGGTGCCAGAGGCGCTGCCATGGTGGTCCAGCGCCGACCCAAGAGATCTGCGCGGACCTCAAACTTTCATTCAGCGGCGAGCCCGTGGGGGGGGGGGAAGTGAGAAGAATCGGGCCTTCCCATAAGGCTCGGAAGTCTCCCAGCCTTCTGAGAAGTGTTCTAAGCCTTCCCGAAAGACGGAGAAGGCCAGGGGCAGGCTGAGAAGCCCCGCTGCTTTCTGAGAAGGCCTTCTGGGCCTTCTCCTTCTCATCCCCTCCCCCCCTTTGCTCGCCCCCTATTCATACTCCTGTTGTTTAACATTTGTTGTCGTTTCTTCTTCTTCTTCTGGCGGGTCTGGCCTGGTCTGCCTGGCAGGCACCCAGATATGAGCGCCACGCCTCGCCTCCTGCCCCTCCCTCCGGCTCGGGCAGGCCTGCGAGAGTGCAGGGCTCACGGACAAGAACAACGTGGCCCGCGGCGCGGCCACTGGCTCCTTCCTCCACGTGGTCGACAAGGATGCGGGCAATATCTATATCCATATCCCGTGCGTCTTGGACTTTCTTGGAAGCGGCGCCGCGAGGCCGAGGCACACCGCCTATGCATATGAATTGCGCTCCTGGGGCCAGCATTTTATCCGTATCCAGTTTCTGGGGAAGGGAGCCCGAAACTCCAAGCTGCAGCGGATATGGACACGAGTCTTGCCCGCAAAGGACGTCATCGCCGGGACCGTCAGGCTCTTCCGACCCTGACTCTGTCGGAGGCGACGCTAAGGGCGAACAGCCCGGGGGGGGAGCAATACACGTATCCAGGGGCGCCGATGATCCATGTCTTCGGCGAGGCTCCCAGGCGAATGCGTGCAATGCCCGTCCCTGGGCTATTCGCCCCTACCGTCGCCGCCGAGACCTCCTCGCGCCGTTGACAGAATCCACGAGGGGACGCTTTCTCGGCAAGCTTCGGCCCCCCGGAGGGCCCCGCCTGGCCCGAGGGGCCGTCGGCCGAGCGAGTCCAAGGGAAGCGCCGGCCCTCCTGGAGGAGGTCAGATGGGCCGACTTTTTGCCACCACCACTGCCACAGGTAGGATGGGGAGGACGAGGATGAGGACGAGGAGGAGGATGAGGCTCGAGGGATCGACGATCTCTTCAGCCATCACGAATCAGGAGTCAGGCTTGAGGAGGAGGGGGCGGAGGAGGAGAAGGAGGACGAGGAGGACCTCCCCATCCTCCCTTTCCCCCCGTCCTACCTGTAGTGGCGGCGGTGGAAAGCTTGCCCATCACGGTCCACCCTTCGGGCGGCCGGGCGGGGAGCCACGTCGCTGGTTGCAAACATTCAGTGGCCTTCAGCCCATCCCGCCACCGTGCCTGACTTGTGGGTCAGAGTCTTCGGGGATGCTTCTTGGGGTCTCTTCGGGTCGCTCTCGGGGGCCAACTTGGGAATCAGCTGTTGGGCCCCTTGAGAGCCTCTTGGGGCCTCTTGGGGGCTTCTTGGAGCCTCCTGGGGCGTCGTGGGAATGTCCGTTCGGGTTCCCCCAGTGGGCCTCCTCTTGAGGCTGTCCTGGGGCCGTCTTGGTTGTTTTTGAGAGCCGTCACACCAACGTCTCACCAGCAACCAGCAAAACAACAGCAAGCAACACCAGCACCAACAGCACAATCAGCAACAACAATTAGCTAATGGCAAGAAACGAACAACACCAACAATATGCGAACAACAATAAGCTGAGAACAAGAAACGAACACGGAACGACCAACAAGAAGCTAACAACACCAGCAACACCACAAAGCCATCAACAAAAACACAAACATCAGCAACGGCAGTAGGCTGCCAGCAAGAAGCTAACAACACTAACATGAACTACAAACACCAGCAACACCAATCTAACAACAATAAGCTAACATCAGCGAGGTAACTACAAGAAGCTAACAACAATAAGAAGCTACTAGCGATCCGTAGCCAGGCTGGCTCAAGGATTTGAGCCTCGAGCTTTGCAGCGAGGCCTCGTTGGAGCGAGACACGATCAGGACCCCGACCAGTCGAGTTGGTCGGCACTCTGGGGTCTCGCAAAGTTGCCCGCGGAAGCCCCAAGCTCCCACGAGAAACTCAGAGGTTCGCCCTACGCGAGCGCCGCCTCTGCCACGACATCCTACAAGAACCTTGGAGTCAAGAGGCTCGAGGCTGAGCAAGCTGGGAAGGATTCTCTCTTTCTGGCCCCCGCCCCGAATTCTTATATCCCAGGGGCTCTTTCACAGTGGAAACGAGCCCCCATGGATTCCTTCCTGCGCATGCGCGCTTGAACACGATTACAAGACATAGATTTTACGTGTAATACAGCGTACAATCCCGAATCCGATTGTTTTGTATTTGAACATTCGTTTTGGGCCTCCCTCTGCCCCCTCCCCTTCCCCTCCTGTCCGGCGACTATTATTGTTGTTTTATTATTACCACGCTATCACGACTATTACTACTACTCCCACGAATCGTTCTGCTACTACTACTACTACTACTACTACTACTACTACTACTACTACGACTACTACTGCTACTACTAGTGCTGCCGCTATTACGATTGCTACTACTAAAATTGCTACTTACACCTACGATATATACGTCATTGATTAAGAATTATGTTTATTCTACGACTATTGCGTTCTCTCCTTTTACTACTACCACTACTACTACTACAACGACTACTACTACTACCACTACTACCACTACTACTGCTACCACTACTACTACTACGATTCCTACTACTACTACTACTACCATTACTACTACTACTACTACTACTACTACTACTACTACTACTACTTTTACTACTACTACTACTACTACTACTACTACTACTACTACTGCTACTACTACTACTACTACTACTACTATTTCTACTACTACCACTACTGCTACTAGTACTACTACTGCTGCTGCTGCTGCTACTACTACTACTACTACTACTACAACTACCACTGCGGCGGCGACTACTTCTAGTACTGTCACCATTACTACGGCTACGACTACGTTTTTTTAATTGTTTTTATTATTACTACTAGTACCGATACTACAACAACTACCGTAGTACACAAGCACTGCTACTAGAACTACATTACCAGTACACTACCACTACACTACAACTACACTGCCAGTACACTACCACTAAACGACCACTACATGGTCAACCACCATCATCATCCAACATCATCACATCAACCATCCATCATCATCAACCAACATCAACCATCAACCATCAACAACCATCATCACATCACCATGACACAACGTCAGCACGACCAGGGGTCCGTTATGGACTCCGCTTGTACTACTACTACTACTACTACTACTACTACTACTACTACTACTACTACTGCTACTAGTGCTGGTATTACTGCTACTACTACTAATAGAATAACGACTACTAGTGTTATGTTTAAGACTGCGAGTACGACTGCGACTACTACTCATACTTTTGTACTACTGCTACTACTGCTACCACTACCACCACTACTGCTACGACTACTGCTCTCACCACTACTACTAATAATAATACTACCACCACCATCACCACTACTACTACTACTATTTCTACTACTACTACTACGACTACTACTACGACTACTATTACTTCTAATAGTTCTACTACTACTACGACGACTACTACTACTACTACTACTACTACGATTACCACGACTACGATTATTTCTAATTCGACTACTTCCACGGCCACGACTAATACCGTTATTAAGTTCACCTCCACTACTAGTACTACTACTACTACTATTACTACTACTACCACTACTACCACTACTACTACTACTACTACTACTACTACTACTACTACTACTACTACTACTACTACTACGACTACCACTACCACTACTACTACTACTACTACTACTACTACTACTACTACTACTACTACTACTACGACAACGACGACGACGACGACGACGACGACGACGACGACGACGACGACGACGACGACGACGAACTACTACATACTACATACTACATACTACATACTACATACTACATACTACTACTACTACTACCACTACTACTACTACTACTACTACTACTGCTACTACTATTATTACTACTACTACTACTACTACTACTACTACTACTACTACTACTACTACTACCACGACACATTCATCGCCTCTCTCTCTCTCTCTCTCTTTCTTTTTCTTTCCTGAGGAGCGACGAGCGGCTGTGGCCGCGCGCCGAGAGCTGGCGAGCGCCGATTGCAAAGCGCTGGGCCCGCAGGACCTCGAGCGAGGCGTCGAGCGAGGCGTAGGTCTCGGCGGCAGACCCGAAGGGGCGATCGAGCATTGCGAGGGGGTGCGCGAGCCGCGAGCTGCCCCCGCGCTGCGACGACGCCCACCAGCGCAGTCCAAGCTCCATGTCGCCCGCGACTGGAGCAAGCGCGCCGACGAGCGCGGCGTCGACGCGTTCCCCCGCCTGCCCAGGGCCGCCAAGGCCAAGCTGCGCCAGCCGTGGCGCTGGGGCCGCGAGACGGTTGCGAGATGGCGCGGGCCTCGGGCGGTTTCAACAGAAAGGGTGACGCGGTTTCAACAGAAAGGGTGACGCGGCGAGGCTCGGCACAAATGGCCTCCGAGCTCGGGGGCGCGTCCGCCCTGGCCGCGGCGAGCGCGGCCATGAGGGCGCCCGGCTTTACGGCGCCCCGCCCTGCCCGGTCGCCGCCGAGCGCCTGCGCGAGGGCGCCTTGCACCGCGCTGGGTGCCGGTTCAAGCGGGGGCGCGCGCGCGGCCGCGAGGTCAGGGGGAAGACGTTCCTGGCGCGGCTGCGCTGCGGGATGGAGTTCAGGCGGGACGGGCAGCCCCGCCTGAGCGCAAGAGCGACAACGCCGAGATCCACGAGAAGGTTGTCAAGCCCCCGAAGACCCCAGACGAACCAGCAGCGCGAGGAGGACCGGAAGTGGGCGGGCGAGTTCGCTGCGCATCGGGTCGCCGGCGACGGGGGGTCGCGCAAATGGGGGGTCAAGGAAGCGCCCTCTTTGCTCATTCAAGGGGCCTTTTGTTGCACTGCGCATTTTTGCAAACCATTGCCGCCGCCATCCAGCCCGCATTTTGCTGCGCGGTGAACGCCGTGGAGAGTTCTACGTGGGCCGCAGAGAGCCCCTTTCTGATCGGCCCCGGCTCTAGGAGTTAAGCGGCGGCGCGAGGGCCGCGCGCGCGGCCGCTGCGCGCAGCAAAACGTACATGCACTTTTTGTGGTTTCCTTGATCTCGTGCAATGCAGCATCGGCCCCCTTCAAGGACACTTTCGAGCCACTTTTTGGCCCGCTGACGCAGGCTAGGGGCGCTTCTGGGACACGCTCGCGCGTTGCAACTTTTGGCCGCCAGCCAGTTTCGCGCATTCAAATGTCTGGCCGGGTGGCTTTTGCGCGACGCGCAGACCGCAATTCTTTCGCGACGCTGAGCATTTGCGCCTCGAGCTTGGGAGAGCCGCCGTCGAACATCCTGCGGGCGTGCCGAGCTGCGCGCGCGCTGCGAGCGGGGCCGTTGCGCGCGGGGCCTTCGTTTTCGATTCCTACGTTCGGCATGCGCGCGCAGACCCCCCCATTTGCGCGGCCACCCATCACCGGCGACTCGAGCGCCCAGGCCGCGCGCGAGCGGGCGCGAGGGCCGGCGCTTTTCCGACCAGGAGAACACAACGTTCTGCCGGGGGAAGGCCGAGCTGAACTGGGCCGCGGCCGACGGGTTCCTGCGCCTGGCGCCGAGGG